TCCTCCCTTTTGGAATGGTAATGTGTATTTGGTTCCACTGTATGTTGGGAGTATGTAATTTGTCTTTTGATTTTATAGAGGCTTACAGTTATTTATCTGAGTCTCAGAGGGACTTTGGACTGATAATTACTATGGGGACTTTCAAAGTTGGAATAAATGCATTTTGCATTTAATATGGTCATGAGCCTATAGGGGCCAGGGGGTGGAATGTGGTGATGTGAATGAAAATGCCCCCCATAGGCTCCAAGTATTTGGACATTTTGTCCCCAGATGATGGTGCTGTTTTGGGAGGTTTTAGAAGGTGTGGCTATCCTGGAGGAAGGACGTCACTGGGGGTGGGCTTAGAGAGTTCTTAAGCCTTGCTGGATCTCCAGTTGCTCTCTTGTTTCCTGTGCCTGCTGGAAGATGTAGAGCTTAGCTTCCACTGCTCCTCCTCCAGCCAACTCTGCTGTTATGCCACCCCGCCAAGACAGACCGAATTTCCCTGGAACCGTAAGCTCAAATAAACTCTTCTTTTTATAAATTGCTTTGGTCAGTGTTTATATCACAGCAATAGAAAAGTGACTAATACACAGAGGATCCAATGTTCTTCTCTGGCCTCCAGGGGCACTGCATGCATATTATGTACATACACAGGCAGGCACACACACATATGCACATAAATAAATAGAAATAAAAAAATAAAGTGCGATTTCAAAAAATGATATATAAACATACTGAATTTTTCAGAAAAATGTAATGAGTTATATTATAGACAGATATGGCTAACATACTTATTAAAGTATAATTATTTTGTTCATCTTATTTTTAATGTCCAAAGGACCTCAATCAAGCTTTTAAAAATTATGTAAATATATTAGATAACATTTTTTTGGTCTTTTTTGAGACAGGGTCTTCCTGTAGCCCAGTTAGCCTGGAACTCACTATGTAGACCAGGCTGGCCTTGAATTCACAATACACCTGCCTCTGCCTCCAGAGTACTGAGATTAAAGGCATGCACCACCATGACTGGAAATAATTAGCATTTTAAAGAAATAATGTTACTAGTAAAAATAGTTTTTTCTTAAAGACCCAATAATTATAACAAAATTAATTGGTTTTTCAATACTCAAATGTATTTTTAAAACTTTATTTTTATTTTATGTGTATGCGTGTATTGCCTGCATGTAGGTAAGTGCACCTGTGTCATACAATGCCTCCAGAGATCAGAAGAGGCTGTCGGATCCCCTGGGACTGGAGTTACGGATAGTTGTTAGCTGCCATGTGGGTGCTGGGATTTGAACCCAGGTCTTCTGTGAGAACAACCAATGTTCTTAACCACTGAACCATCTCTCCAAACCCTCAAATATATTTTTTTAATGTAAGCTTTTTCTCATTACTCTGCTAATGAGGATTATTACTCTAACTTTTTTTTTTTTTGATGACTTATGGATAGTTACTAAGAGCAACCAGAGCTGTCTGTTTCCCTGTTCACCTCTGGTGCAAGAGGCTGACTTCTTACATGGGAGTAGGACAGAGCACTGCCAAAAGCTTCTATGGAATCTTCCTTCTGCTCTGTCCAGGTGTGGACAACCTGATCTTAAGTCCATCACTAGCAAGAATGATGAAATTTAAGTTCAGCTTTGAGGCTTTTGCTGAAGCTTTGCATGTGTGGGTAGGATAAGAATGGGTATCTAACAAAGTCAGATTCTACTGAGAAAGAAGAGGTAACGGATGTGGGAGACACATACACTACTTTGTACATATTGTTACCAAACTCCATTCATCTTATGAAAGTAGGATTTTATTATCTATTTATGAATTAACTGGTGAATTTTATAAAAATGATTATATTTCAATTTTCATCCAATTCAAAAGATTTTTTTTCACTCCATGAGGTGTGCATCCTCTTTGGTAATATATAAGCTTTTAGAGAGTTCCTGTTATCGTCTACTGATTTGGTTTGACTTAGTTATGACTAAGACATGTTTTATTTTCTTTCCCTATTGCTTGGTGATGCCAGATATGTCCTTCACATGCTCAAAATCAGTTGGTGGTACAGTTCAGTTCTCCTAGACAGCTGCCTATGCTGTTTAGAGGTTTCATCCATCACCAAAAAGGAGTGTTGAATGAAGCTACAAGCTATTACCATATTTTCAGTTGTGTCAGTTTTCAGTTCTGTGTTTGCAGTTATATCACTTGGTGTATATAATTTACTGTTTTCTTGTCATCAGATTGTTCTACCATGATGTAATGTACTTTTCTGTTTCCAGAAGTTTTCTTTTGTTCTGAAGTCTACTTCATTTGATAGTGGTATTACAGCCACTCCAGCTTTTTTTGGATTAGTGTTTGTATGGAAGCTTTTTTTGTTCTTTACTGTTAACCCATCAATGCCATTATATTTTAAGCAAGTTTTAAAAACTCATTCTCTTACTCTATTTTTTACCTGGCACATTTAGGATCATTTACATTGAATGTAATTATTCACATTAAGTCTTATGTAGGTCTGTCATTTTATGTTTTGTCTCTCCTGTTTCTATTTATCTGTCTTCAAGTGAACATTCTTTAGTATCCATTGATTCATCTGTGATTCATCCATATTTTTTAAGTGTCTCTCCTTATATAATTGTTTTCAGGGACTAATCTAGGGTTCAACACATTCAGGCTACTGAAGCCTACCAATGTCAACATGTACCACTTCAGTGAACTATGGGCATTTAACTATCACTTCCCCTCTTACTCCACTTCCCATGATGTTGATCTCAAACACTGTCTCTGCATACACTGAGAACCATACAATATAATTTTTAAAAGTGTAACTGGATATTGTATTTATCTTTCACAATCACCAGGAGTGTCTACACAGCCACTCCTTCCCTAGCATTGAACCATCACAAACTTGTTAACCATTTTCCCTTGTGCTGTTTTCCATCCATGTTCTCTATAAGTCACTGATACTTTTTTCCAATATATTTGGGACACTGATAAAAAATCAGATATGTTTCTAAAAGTATCCTCTGAATGACATTGCTATCCTTCCTAACTCATTTATGTGCTGTTTTTAAGTACTTACACATATGTTGTTTTAATTATTTTCCCCATAGGCTTCTGGGCAATGGGTCTCATTCTGTTTAACCACCACCTATTAGAAACCATTCAGCTGCCTATGCTGCAAGTTCCCACAAAACCTCCCATCCATATACATGTAATACTCATACCCAAAATACTTTGTCCCCAAAGAGTCTATGACCATTAGTTGTACTCAAAGAGCAAGTATCTTGAGATAAAATTCTTTAAGCAACTTACTGTAAGAAGCATTCAGGTCAACTTTTTTAGCTTCTACAGATGAGAGAGAATGTGTAGTATTTGTTTGGCTTATTTCACTTAACATAATACTCTCCAGTATCATTTGTCTGCTGCAAATGACAGGGTTCTATTTTCTGTGGATGAATATTAATCCATTATGAACACATGTCATATTTTATTTGTTCACCTAATACTGGACCCCTAGGTCGATTTGTAGCTTAGCTACTGTAAATAGTGCTGCAATAAAAAATACGGACGTAGGTATCTTCTCAGTATGCTGATTTCCTCTGGATATTTACACAGAAGTAAGAGAGTTGTACAGGTGGCGGGGGGTGAGGTGTGGAAAATGGTGATAAAATTTGATTCAATGCAATTTTATGCATGCATGAAAATATCACGAACCTCATTAACATGTACAATTAGTATGTATTAACAAGCTGGCCGTGGTGCTTCGTGCCTTTAATCCTAGCCCTCAGGAGCAGAGACAGGTGGATCGAGGCCAGCCTGGTTCACACTGGGAATATGGAGACCCTGTTAAAACAAACAAGGAAAACAAAAAAAAACAAAAATTATATATTAACAAAAGATAACTAGCTGAGCATAGTAGTACACACTGAGGGGGAGCCCTGTGAGACTGATGCCAGCCTGGTCCACACAGTAAGTTCCAGGCCAGCTGGAGCTACAGAGACCCTGTCTCAAAAAGTCAAAAAACTAAAGAACAACAACAAAAAGACAATTGTTGAGCTTGGGAAAAACAAAACTTCATATTAAAAACTTATTCCTGAGTCAGGCATGGTGGCACACATGGCTATAATCCCAGGACTTCGAAGGTTAGACATGAAGATCACCACAAGCTTAAGCCTAGCCTGGGCTATTTAGTAATACCCTGTCTCAAAAAGAAACCCAAATAAAAAAAAAATGAAGCAAAAAACAAAAATTCTTTAGTCCCAAAAAACTTTGAAAACAACTCTGTATCCTTTATGGAGTCATGTGACTGTGAGACTCACTTTATAGCATCTGTTGTGTATCCATGCCCATCACTTCCACATCCACTCTTTTACATAGCTCCTATGCAATCAATGATGCTAGTATCCAGTAGTTTTCCTCCAAATTCAAAAGACAAAGTTACATATATATGTACATATGTTTTAATCTTTCTATAATTAACTTAACTTTGAACTTTAAGTAGTGGAAGCAGTACTTTTGATAAAAGTTTTCAGATTGATTAATAAAGTTTCTTACAAATGTAAATATCAAGCTTGCTCCAGTTCTACAAGGACTCCACCACAGTCTTTGGGATGGAGAAAAATCACTGGCTTTCCATGTGCTCCTATGCTGACCTCTTCACTTAGACTGCGGATCTTCTTTTTTTTCAAATCCATCACAGCTGCATTTATATTATCCACCTTGAGAAAAGGAGAAATAAGAATAGATATGAGAGCATAAAAGTATCAAATGACAGTGCTGTAAGGCTTAGAAGAAACTCTGAGAGCTCATGCAATCTATTTCTTCTGCCTTTGGACAGGACAATTCCTTTTAAAAAAATTTATTTTATGTGTGAATGTTTTGCCTGCATGTAGGTGAGTGCACCACATGCATGCAGTGCCCTCGGGGGCCAGATGGAGACATCACATCCCCTGGAACTGGAGTTACGGATTGTTGTCAGTCCTATGTGGGTGATGGAAACCGAACCTGGTTTTCTGCAAGAGCAAACAGTGCTCTTAATTGCTAACCCATCTCTCCAGCCCTGGGGTAGTACTATTCTTAAACCATCACAAGGGCTGGGGAAAGGTAGCTCAGTCATAGAGCACTTCCATAGCATGCATGAGGCTCTGGGTTCCCATCCTCAGCATCTAAAAAAAAAAAAAAAAACCAAAAAAAAAAACAACCCAAACAAAATCCCATCCCACAAATGAAATGACAATTATAAATGTTGCTATCAAAATGTTATTCTCCATCATAAAAAATTTTTAAAACAGCCTGAAGTAATCAATCACCATTTGTAAGGACTGGACTTTCTTAAATGCTGGCTAAGTAAATCAACCATAAAATGATACCTGTAACTCGGTTTTGTAAATCTGACTCATGGACTTTATATAGACACTGACTTTAGAGATCTACTTTTAATTTTGATTGACATAATATCATTTAATGAGTACCTACTTGTTTAGAATAAGGGCAAAATGGCATGTTAAAATTACTTTAAGATGGTAAGAAAATAGGGGCAAAAAAAAAAAAGGATGAAGTAGAAGTGGCAAGATCTTGAAAACCGTTGAATCTTTGTGATGGGGATTTAGGAGTTCCTTATATTTTCCTATTTCTCCTACGTTTGAGAATTTTCATAATATGAACCTGCCTCTTCAAAGTGCCTTCTGATCATTTCTATTCAACTTATGGTAAAAATCATTTATAGAACTTTCTATCCAAGCACAAATACCTACAGTTCTGGTATTCTATTCCAATTTTTAGTATATTGCTTCTTTAATATTCCTTAATCCAAAAAATGATCCTAATTCTATCACTATTTCACTGACTTTGATTTTAAGGATCTTACGCCATATTCATCTATTAGTGTTGCTATAAAGTTTACAATTCTTTAAGAATGCTATGAATATTTTGACAATCATAAAAAATGAAATAAAACTGTCTTTATTTCATAACGGTATTGTGACAGACTAGATGATGGACTCTAACGTGTGGTGATCCTCTAATCGCTCTGCTACACAATGACAGTTTTCACCAAAAAAAAAAAAAAAAAAAAAAAGGTCAATAATAACTATCTTTAAAAATGCTAGTATCATCTTTCGAACACATAGTTCTGTCTCAGGTTGTTCCATCGAGCCCTGAGTGTCATTAGTGAAAATCTGAGCTAGTTTATTTCCACTTTGACTTTTTATCAGCTCCTCTGTGTGTCAATGAGTCTGGGAGGTTATGATGATTTTTCCTTCTCGTGGTGAGTTACAAATGGCAGTTAAAAAAAAAAAAAGTGTTGGTTGTTACAATCAGAATTCAGAATCTTCAGTGAATTTTTATCTTCTTTTGTGCTCAGTTGTTCCATCTAAAATGGCAATGCAATTTTCTTTGTTGTAAGGCAAGTTTTACCTCTTACCCATAAGGTACAAAATTCTCAGTTTAATGAACAAATAAAAATTTAGGAACAAGCAACAATGTGCCGTTTCTAATAGTACATGATATTTTGATTGATTTAACAAAGAGGCTTTTATTTTACATAAAATTATAATGTTAATTGATATCAATAATGGATGAGTTCAATCCTCAAACTGATATAAATCTATTAAAGTTAAGTGAAAAGTCTGCATTAAATATTTATGTTTCAATCCCACCCTAAAGGCAAAACCTATGTAAACATAACATTGTTCTGACTGGAACTAGAGAGATGGCTCAGCAGTTAAGAACACTTGCCGATCTAGAATACCCAAGTTTGATTCCCAAAACTCACATAATCATCTGTAACTCTAGCTCCAGGGAATTTGATGTCCTCTTCAGGTCTCCAGACAGGCACCAACACGCATACGGCATTCACTCACACAGACACATAGACACACTGACACAGACACATATATATACACATAATTAAAAATAAACCAAATCTTTAAAAATAATAAATCTTTAAAAAAAAACATTGTTCTAATGAGTTCAGAGGCTTCCTGTGTATTCTTAGGAATATTTCAGAGGGTACCTGTTACTTAAGCTTCCATGCTTGCTATAAAGCTTGGTGGTAGCTACGTATAGCATTTTCCAAATGCTGGCCTCCAATGAAATGTTCACCAGTTGACAGTAAACCACTTTCTTAAACCTAGATTTAAATGACAGGTCTTACAGTTTGGCTCTTTAACACACAAAGGCCCATGTGTTAAAGGCTTGGTCTCTAGCCCATGGCTCGTTGGGAAGTGGTAGAAACTTTAGGAATTGGAACCTAGTGGGGGGAAGTGAGGTCACTGAGGGTGTGCTCTTGAGGGGGACAATGGCATACTCTTTTCTTCTTTCTCTGTAATAATATACTTTTCTTTAGCAGGGCACAGTGGCATATACCTTTAACCCCAGCACTAGGCAGGCATAGGTAGTTGGTTCTGTATGAGATCAAGGCCAGCCTAGTCTACATAGAGAGTTACAGGCCATTTGGGGTTAGCATTGAATAACAGTTTTTATTACACAGGAAGTTCAGCCTCACAAACTGTTCATTTCTTTGTTGTTGTTTTACTCTCTGGCATTGTCAAGGCACAGTGATACAGGCACTGCTTAGTAGAACAGTTCTCTAAGGAGGTTTATGGTAAAGACAAAATGAAAATGGACTCTTTAAAAAATGATGTACCACCTTAGCCTCTGGAGTAGCTGGAACAACAGGTGTGTGACACCATCCTGGCTAGCCTGAAATTATTAGAGTGTGTGTGTGTGTGTGTGTGTGTGTGTGTGTGTGTGTGTGTGTATGTATGCATGTGTGTGTCTGTGCATGAGTATGTTGTGTGTGTGGAAGTCACAGGTTGATGTTTGGCATCTTCAATCACTCTTCACCCTATTTTTTGAGATGGAGTCTCGCTCACTGCTAAGGCTGGCTGGGTAATGAATCCCAGACATACTTCTGCCTCCGTCTCCCAGTCCTGGGATTACAGACATCTGCCCCCACTCCCACCTTTTACATGGATGTCAGGGACCAAACTCTCATGCTTCCATGGCAAACAGTTTACTGGCTGAGCCATCTCCCCAGGCCCCAAAATCATTTTTGAAAGAAGAATGTTCTGTCTTGGTTGAAGAGCATTCCCTAGCATGAAGGAAATAAATTTACCTCACCAGCCTTTTAGTTTAAAGTCTTGTAACTTTCCTTTCATAAGTCATATATGGCTCAGTGAAAAAAGGATCAGTAAAACACAAAAACATGAACAGGAAAAGACTCATCTATTATGTGATCATTCCAACACTGAAACTGTAACAAATGCTGCATTTCTTTACCATTTTCCTATCCTGCTTTATAATAATATTGTTCCTATATTCTTTTTCTCATTAGCCTGCAATAGTAAGATCACCTTTAAATAAAACAGAATACTCTTCTTGTACATGAATGCCTACTCCTGGAAAGCCTGGTTCCCATTACCATCACTAGTCACTGTACTCACTCATCCAATTAACCCCCTTGAGGGAGCCAGTCTCCACTGCCTCTCCTTCAGCAGTGCCTCTGCACCACACTGTTCCAGCATGCTGGGCTGCGTCCTTATCTACCTGATGTGGCTCACCCCACCTCAGCTTATACTCACAATGCTAGGACATACCTCCCTTGTATGCAGGGCTCTCTACCAGACAATACAATCATTCCCTAGATCACAGGCTCCCCATCTTGCTTGGGCCCCAACAACAGGCACTTAAGTGCCCCAATGTGCATATATCTTCCCTGTCCTGTTTCTTCCCCATACCTGCTCAATGACTCTACTCCAATGACTACAACTCCACTCAGACCCTGGTGCTCTATACCAGGCCACCCCATGTGAGGATACACATCCCATACTGCTTGGCCTCTAACACTCTTCATTAATCACCATGTCCCCCTGCAATGATGTACTCCACATGAGTGCCCCTGACCTCCATGCTAGGCACCCTTACATATACAATCTGTGTATTAGTCAGTTTTCTGTTGCTGCGATAAAACACTGATCAAAGTAACTTACAGAATGAAGCATTTATTTGGCTTATGATGCCAGAGGGTTAGAGTCCATAATAACGGTGGAGGAAGCATGGCAGCCGAGGTGTCTGGAGCAGAAAGCCAAGTGATCATATTTTTAAAGAGGAACAGGAAGCAAAAAGAGAGCCTGGAAACTTGGCAAGGCATAAGAACTCTCAAAGCCCACCTCCAGTGATGTGATTCCTCCAGCATGGCCACACCTCCTAAAGGTTCCATGACCTTCTCCAAACAGCACCACAACCTGAGGACCAAGTGTCCAAATAATTGGAGCCTATGGGGACATTCTCATTCAAATCACCAGTCTGTCAATATTCTCCCTCACACTGCTGAGGCTCTTGTATTCCATGCTATCCCAACCCCATGTGGCTCTCTCCTCAATAGTGAAGGGCTTCCACTTATTGCACTGGGCTGTGTCTCAGTCTGTTCAAGTTCCTCACCCAATACCACAAACTGGACAGGTTACGATCACAGATGCTGATTTCTCATGACTCTGAAGCCATGAAGCATGCCCACAGCAGATCCTACATGATCAAAGGTTTCATATGGGGCCCCAATGAGAAAGAACATCCAGACCCTTCTGATATTAGACAGCAGAAAGAAAAAATCCTCCAATGGGTAAATTTAAGACTACAAAAAACCAGAATGGCACTAAGAAATAAATGGCAAAAGCCATAAAAACTACAGAAGAAATACAGCGCTTTCAAAAAATGTAATGAGGCCAGTTCTCCAAATCCTACCCAGAATAACTCCTTTCTGTAGTCAAATACCATTAAGCTGTTTATGTACCAGAGTGCAGCAAAACAAAGCCATCCTTCCAATCAACGTCTTCTGAGATGAAGAACATCTCTAGTATGGACAGAGGACACATAACAAGAACTTTCCCAGAGTCTGTCTGCTTGTGCCTTGTTGTCTGAGCCTGTAGTCACTTGTGCTGCTTTATACTAGGTGGTGCTCTGAGACTAGTTTTGCATCTATTCTGCTGTAGAATTAGAGCCAAATAAAACAGGTTGGTAGGCACAGTGTAGGTGATTTCAGGTAGATGCAGTCCTCCTTAGTCATCTACCACCTTGTAAGTAAACCCTGATAAACCCACTTTATTCATCAAGGTAGACTTGTAAGAGTCATTCTTTAGTCTGTTGATGCCCTCAAGTTCAGACAGATATCTTTTTTGTCTCCCCAGGAAAAGTCATGCAAACAAAATAATGACTAAAATGTTAGAGAAGGCTGAAGAAACTCATTTTTGTAGATGCGGTGCCTATGAACCTTTTACCTTGGCAAGTAACAAGAATTCTGAATCTTCTGTTTACAAAGGCTAGGCATGTTCTCTTCTTACACAGGTCCCAACTTTCCCAGTTCTGGTAATTTGAAAATCAAATCATTCTGGAGCTTAAAAAAGTTCACATTTGGGCAGTTAAGAAATAGGTGATGGGCCAACACTAGACTGAGACCTATTTGAGACTGATTGCTGCTGGGTTAGGGAGAGTATGATTTACATACAACCACCGGATGGGCTGACTAAACTCCAGTGGATGCATTTACACTGAAGGACATTTGGGTACAAACATCTGAATGAATAGGACTTAGCATGTATGGCAGAATGCATAGGGTTCGGTGGGGAGATAGGGGGAGGCATGGATGGGGAGGGGGTCTGGTTTGAATGGGAAATGTTCAAAATTTAAAAAGCTCAATAAAAAAAAGTTATCTATATAAAAAAAATTCATATCATCCTCTGCTCAGAATATATCCACGCATTCATAGTTACAGTACTTTGAAAATATGGCTCTTCCTATCAAGAGTCAGGACCCACAGGCTGGAAAGATGGCTCAGAGGTTAAAGCATTTGCTGTTCTTGCAGAGGACCAGAGTTTGGTTCCCAGTACCCACATGGTGTCTGTAACTCCAGTTCCAGGGTATCTGACAATCTTCTACTGGCCTCTGTGGGCACCAGACACATATACACATGCAGAAAAAACACTCATAGGCATTAAAAAAAGAGTCAAGATCTAAGGACTTGCTCTTGAATTTGGTTTGCCTTGAACCTGCCTTTGACCAGCAGGCCATGGCAGAAGAGGCCACAGTCCTTCTCGTTCTACGGGGTTACTCACTCTGGGAAAGTCAATGGTCAAATACAAAGTCCAGCCATCCTCTGAACTACACTTAGCTTGTCAAGCTAAAGATGTCACCTGTAGGTACTCCTGCTGCATGTCTAGCTGAGCTCCAAGCTGCAAGCCCACATTGACTACCAGCCACATGAGTGAGCTCAGCTAGACATGCAGGAGTACCTACAGGTGACATCTTGAGGGCATCTGGACACCACCGTGGTCACTGCGGCATGTGTCACATGAGCCACCCCAAACAGGAACTGTGCAGCAGAACTCTAACTTCCTGATCCACAAGATCCTAAACAAATGATACGGTTGTTGCTGAATGCCACTTTATTGCATGGCCATGGTATCAGCAACAATGACTAAAGAGATATTTCCTAACTGGTTCAGGCACATGTTGTACTTCAGAAGATAATGCAAGACCCAAGTCATATTAGCCAGAAAAGAGGTTATATCCTTCTAACACAATGAAGCCTAAAACCTCAATATTTTCACGCAAGAAAAATATTTTCAGTTCAAGACAAGAAGTTTTGCTACCCCAAGGTGGGGAACTAAGCCCACTCCAGCTTGTGGCACCATCACCATCTCAGATTTCACAGTACATAGAGAAATAACAGTATTTTTCAAATGTTTCTATCTTGTTGCTATCATAGCAACATCATTTCTAAAAATTACCACATGTTGCACAGACTGATAGCCAAGTGTGGCAGAGGTGGATACTCTACTTTTCTTTCTTCAAATTGAAAGAAACCTTTTTATTTCCTGGGGCCTACAGCTGCCTAGCCAGAGGCTACATTCCCAGTCTCTCTTGCAGCCATGTGTGCCATCTGACTAAGCTCAGGTCAGAGGGATGTGACAGAGTCCATGCTCGGTCATCTGACAGGCACTGGCCCTTATTCTTTCTCTGCTTTCCCTTCCCTTTGGCTGGTGAACAGCGATGCCTGGACAGCCTTATAAACCATGTGTTACGAACTACAGGGCTGCCTCATTCACTGGGACAGCTCACTTTCAGACCCAGAATAGGGAAATAAAAACTACCTAATTAATCCATTTCATTATGTTTTGTGGAGACTTCCGGACAACAGAGGAGTATTAGACTAAGGTGGCACCTGAGCACTCTGTACAGGGTCTCCTTACCTCCTTCATTTTATGCTCATACACATTTGTATTTCTCTTTCAATATCTACTTTTGAATTTGCTGTTACTTTACTGAACTCCCATTTTCTTTACTTAACTGAACTTCTAACTCACAGTTGGCCTCCTTTGAAGGCATGAGTTCTCTTGATGTGGAACCTAGACCACACAGTGTAGGAGAAAGGAGAGTAGATTCAAAGGTACATGGTCCTGCTTTTCATCCTGGGGGGCTTACACAAACTCTCAGGTCCACTGATAAAACCTGCAGCCAGAGTAACTTCCTGAGAATAAAGGGTAAATATCACTATAAATAAACTGTATAGTTTGTGGTATAATGTGAGATAGCTTCCCCCATCTCAAAGTAACCTCCCAAGATTGAAAGAAAGGGTACATATGAAGGCTCGTACAATTCCCCTGTCTAATGGTGTGAGGTTTCCCCCATCTTAAATTTTATAGTCTAATCATACAATGAAGGAACTGGCCTCACAGCTAAAAGTGCGCACTCTGGGAACAGCGTAAATCTGGGTTAGAACCTGGGCCTTGCCATGCACACCTACAGCTACTGTGGGACCTCAGCTAAGTCTCAGTTTTTTCACCTGTCGTATGGGGTTGGTAACATTCTAATAGAGTAACTTTTTGAGAATTCAAGAAATTAATATGTGCTAAGTATTTCACACACTATCGAAGGAGACATAATGTGCTTGCCAGCTGTTAGAATGGCTCTAGGTCTTTCTACGTGCTATTTCCTCTAGTTGGAATAGTTTTTTTTTTTTCTCTTGTTTATCTGGGAATTCCTTTAGAGCCATCATAACCCATGCCCTATGAGACCTTCCCAGCTCCTTGCCCTGAGCAGCCAACTTCCTCCCCATTTATGTTACTGAGAAAATATGCATATTTGTTCCATTTATCACAGTATGTTTTATCTGTTTTTTGAAGTATCTAGCCCCCACTCATGGGTACATGGTTCATGTATTTTACTGAATTTCAAGTACTTAGTAGAAAGTATTATCTGAAAACATCCTTGATTTCATTCTAGAATCAATATACTTCTCTTCTGGGTTAGGAATGAGGTTTTACTATTAATTATGCCGTTACTTCTAGCAAAGGAATTATCCTATCAAATTAATTTAAATTGAAGCCTAATTGGTATTGCTGATATTCTAAAAGACAGTTATTTGAACATGAACACCTGCAGATAAATGTTCTCTAATGAGAATGTTTTTGCCTAACATTTCTTCATGTTTTCATAAAAACTGTTAGCAAACACAGTTTAAGAGATACTAAAAATCAAAGGCCAGAGAGATGGCTCAGGAGGTAAAGGCAAAGGCACTTGTCATCAGACCCCAGTTCAACCCCTAGAACCTACATGGTGGAATGAGAGAACTGACTCCTGAAAGTTGTCCTCTGACTTCCACATTCATGTTGCAGCATGTGCACGTGTGTGTATGCACATGAAAAATAAGTAAAAATTTTAAAAATCAGTAATTGAAAATGAATTGCATATAAGGAACAAGATATTAGAATTTTGTTTTTTTGGTCTTTTTGAGACAGGGTCTCCCTGTAGCCCCAGCTGTCCTGGAACTCACTATGTAGACCAGGCTGGCCTTGAACTCTCAGAGGTCCACCTGCCTCTGCCTCCCGAGTGCTGGGATTAAAAGCGTGCGTCACCACGCCCAGCAGATATTAGAATTTTAAGGATGGAAATGTAATTATGAGAATACTTTATGCTAAGGATATAGCTTGGTGGTATATCATATATTTACTTGCATGAGGTCCTGGCACCATGAACAAAACCTTAGCACATTTATGAAATTCTTATTTTATAAATTCTTTCCACTTGCCTAATTTCCTTGTTATGGTGAAAAACATTTACATTCTTATTAAACGAGAGGTCACATTTAACCAATAAATCCTAGAGCCAAGATTCTACCCACTTCAGTGGCCTTTTTAAAGTCTACTGAATTTAGTCTTCAACGAAATACATTATTATTTTTACAGCTCTATAGAAGTGTGTGTGTGTGTGTGTGTGTGTGTGTGTATGCACATGCATGCATTACACACAGATTCACCTTCAAAGAAGTATAATAGTGTCATTCCCTTAAAAACTTTAATAAACGGTTCTAGTTCTACAGAGGCTTAAAAAGCACCTTTCGTGGAGGAGAGATAAATGAGTGACATTAAAATGATGAACCCACCTCAATGCAAACGTGGTGTATTCCTCCAGCCTTGTTTCTCTGCAGAAAGCCTGCGATGGGACTGTTACTTCCCAGTGGATGAAGCAGTTCCATCTTGGTGTTTCCCAGGTTGACAAAAACAATAGATACTCCATGTTCTGGAAGTGGGACTGCCTCACTTACCTGGGCCCCCAGAATATCCTTATAAAATGATGAGGCCTTTTCCAAATCTGGCACTGCTATGGCCACATGATTGAGCCGCCCCAGGTTCCACACAGGCCCCGCTGATAGATGCAAGGACTGTGATGTGGAAAAACCTCTCACAGTTGGAAATTGAGTTTGGACTCTGGAGAAAAGCCCTAAAAAGAAAAAGAAAAAGAAAAAAGAAAAAAAAAAAGAACTGCCATTAATATCTTTCTTTTGAGAATTAACGTATTTCTAAGGTTAATTTTAAAAATTAAACAAATAGCTGTAGAATTCATTATTTACATATCTATGCTTTTTAATTATTGAAATTAAATCAGGAGAGATCAATGGATGACCTTATGTCAAATCTATTCACTCTTCTCTGCCAAGAATTAAAAACCCGTGTGTCTGCCAAGTGTGGTGGCGCAGGTCTATAATTCCAGCTATTCCAGAGATGGGGTAAGAGAATTTGAAATTCAAGGCCTGCCTGTATTACACAGTGTGTTCAAGGTCAGCCTACACAACTTAGTGACACCATATGTCAAAATGAAAAACAGAGAGCGTTAAGGCTCTAGGTTCAATCTATAGTACAAAAAAAATTTTTAAGCTATTTGTCTATAATTATAATCTAATTCTGAGCTTCAGTTACATTCTGAACAAAGAATGACACTTTTCATAAAAACATACTTACTTATAATACTTCAAAGGATAACTGCATATTAAGAATTATTCACAGGGGTGGAGAGATGGCACAGTGGTTAAGAACACTGGTTGCTCTTGCAGAGGACCTGGGTTTGATTCCCAGCACACACGTGGCAGCTAACAATCATCTGTAACTCTAGTTCCAGGGGATTTGACGCCCTCTTCTGACCTCATGGGCATTGCATGACATGGTGCACTTATATATGCAGGCAAGACACTCATACACATAAAATAAAAATAAGTAAAATATTGAAAACAGAATTATTCACAAATGTCTACATTTTACAGAAGTTTGACTGTGGTTGTGCAGCAATATACACCTATGAGAAGAGCAAGCAACCTTTTCCCAATGTACATGCACTTTTGTGTTATATTACACAATAATGCCTTCATGAAAGGCATACCTCTATAGTACTTTTAGTGCACATTTCACTTCATATTAACTAAGGAAAATACCTGGCTGCTGGGGGGGACAAACAAGATCAAGGAGTATGCAACTTGTGAGGCTTTCTTTGGAGACCACAGTTTTACATTATTTCTTTTATAATGTTGAAGGATTAGAGGCAGAACTACTTCTGGATGTTAAGAAACACTTGCTCATTCAGTAACTAAAGATGATGATGAAGGGGTGTTACTTTGCTTCCCACTTCCTAAACACTGGGTTTAAGACCCAGGCTCCCCAGAATATATGTGGTAAATATGCACATATATGTGGCAAACATGGAATTGTAAAAATAAAGTGCTTAATTTAGGCTAAGAAGGTCTTCTACTATGCCCCCCCCATATTACAGATGACTAAAATAGCCAAAAGTTCCCTTTACCAATAGCTTAATGTCCAATGCTACTCTCTGTGTTACTATGAAATCTAAGTGTATTAGTACCCAAGACATACAAACATAAATGTACAAGTGAAACTGAACCCCACAGAAAGAGCAACCCAATCTTTACAATAAGTAAAGCTGATATTTTCTAGTCTAGCTCAATTTTTGAAACATACTATTCTCATTCACTAAATATTTAATTTGCTAGTCTGTTGTGGAGACTAGTAGGTATTCAACAACATAATACAATGCTAAGCACACACAGTAGTACACAATGAATTCACCCAGTCTTGCTACTGAGGACATACAATGATGGCCTGCCAATGGATGGAATGAGTGCTTTCCATAAGCCCATCTCATGAGGGCATGGTGATAATGAGTTTTACAAATGCTACCAACAAAATCTCTGGGCAAGCTGCTCCTCCCTTCTTTCTTTCTCTCCTGAGTGTATCATTGGCAATGGATGTTAACTACAAAACATTTGTATATTAAAAAGAGAAAAAACAAAAAAACAAACAAACAGAAAAAAACCACTGGAGATGGAGAACGTCAGTGAGCTTCCAGATAACATGTACATTAAGAAGTTGCTTTGAGGGGCTGGAGAGATGGCTCAGTAATTAAGAGCACTGACTACTCTTGCAGAGAACCAGGGTTCGATTCCCAGCACCCACATGGTGGCTATGAACCGTTCTTAACTCCAGTTCCAGGGGAATCCGAAGCCCTCTTCTGACCTCCGCGGCATTGCACGACATGGGTGCACTCACATACATGCAGGCAATACACTCATACACATAAAATAATAAATAAAATATTTTTTTAAAAGTTGCTTTGAGCTGGCTATGTACTCCAGCACTAAGTCCAGCACTTGGGAGGCAGAGGCAGACAGATCTCTTTCAGTTTGAGGCCGGCCTGGTCTACATGACAAGTTCCAGGCCAGCTGGAGCTACAAGAAAACCCTGTCTCAAAAAAAAAAAAAAAAGACAAAAAAAAAGTTGTTTTGGGGGGCTGGAGAGATGGCTCAGTGGTTAAGAGCCCTGGCTGCTCTTATAGAGGAGCAGAGGACCCAGGTTCGATTTCCAGCACCCATATGGCAGCTAACAACCGTTCACAACTCCAGTTCCAGGGGAATCCAATGCTTTCTTCTGATCTTTGCAGGCATTGCACGACACGGGTGCAGTTACACATATGTAGGCAATACACTCGTACACATAAAATAAAAATAATAAATTAAAAAAAAGAAGTTTCTTTGTCTGTGGAGTGGTAAGGGCATGTTAAATGTTGAATCCAGGTGTCTGACATCTCCTCAGCAGAATTACTTCTGTAGGAGATGGGCAGTGGGAGGTCCTCCCACAGATGTCCTACAGAGCAGGAGCATATAGAAACGTCAAAGGAGCTTGCTTTGGGGACATTTCAAAACCTCTAGCACACCAAAGGAAGCCCAAGTTAACAGTAATTGAGAGTTTTATTGTGATCTTTCATTATCACTTTCTGATCATTTGGTTTACCAGGACAGCAAACTCTTTCTTCCTTTGCAGAGAACATTCTCTTTCTATGTCAGCAAGATAGAAAGACAACAGTAGCTTTATACTGTGGTTATGAAGCTTTCAAAGCCACGTTGTAGGTTGATCTTATCTGTAGAGATGGTACTGGATTGAAGAGGACAGTTATCACTTTTTATTGGTTTTATTTGGTCCCTGGAGCATGTATTCTAGGAATAGAGCAGAAAGCTATAGCAATACCAATGAAAACTCAAGAGTTTCTTTAAAAATGAAGGGATAGGACACAAAATTGTCAACAAACTCATCAGACACTCAGTAACATTAGTGACTGCCAGGGGAAGGCACATCAGATCCACTGAAATAGACTACTCAACAAGAAAGAAAGGGGCAAAAAAGGCAAGAAATTAAAATCTTTGTAGATTTCTGGTCAATATGTAAAATGATGCTGCTATCATGGAATGGTTCAGCAGTTCTTCAACAAAAGTTAAACACAGAATTATAAGCAATTCTACTCCTAAGCACCCCCAAACGGCTGTCAAACCCAGGCAAACATGCTTACATGGATATTCACAGCAGCAATATTCCCATAAACAAACAATGGGATATTACTCAACCTAAGTACTGACCTGTGGCATATGTGCTGGATAGCTTTAGTGTCAACTTGACACACCTGGGTTGAGAGAGCCTCAAGTGGGGAAATGCCTCTATTGGACTGGCCTGTGGCCATGTCTGAGGGGCATCTTCTTGATGAGTGATGTGGGAGAGCCTAGCTTACTTACTGTGAGTGGTGCCACCCCTGGGCAGGTGGGCCTGTGTTGCATAAGAAAGATGGCTGAGCAGGGGCCAGGGAGCAAGCAGCATTCCTCCATGGCCTGTGCTCCAGCTCCTGCCTCCAGGTTCCTGCCCTGAGTTCCTACCTTGGGCTCCCTGATGAACTGTTACCGGGAGATGTAAGTAAGATAAAATAAACCCTTCCCTCCCCAAGTTGGTATTGGCTAGAGTATTTTGTCATAGCAATGGAGAAACAAACTAAGACATATAACATGCATGAACCTCAAAAACATCATGCTAAGTGAGGAGAGCTAGACATTAAAGGTCATACACAGTATGATCCCTGTTACATCAGTTACCTAGCACAGGTAACTAACTCCATAGAGAGAGGGGTAGAATAGTGGTCACCATAGGTTGGAGGGAAGAGAGAAACTGGACTCATAACTGAATATAGGTAGGTTTCTTTTTGTTTATGAAAATGTTGCAACTACATAAATTAAAGGTCACAGTTGCACAACATAGAAAATATAACAAATATTGCACCTTTCTAATGCTTATGTGAATGTGTCTAATGGCGTAAGAGTTATTATTCCAGCAGTAAGAATCTATGGTTAAAATCCTGTAGACCAAGCAACTAGGTGAGGTACAGGAATAAAGAATATAAAATAATGTGATGGGGGCTGGAGAGATGGCTCAGTGGTTAAGAACACTGGCTGTTCTTGCAGAAGACCAGGGTTCAAATCCCAGCACCCACATAGAAGCTAAAAACTGTCCATAACTCCAGTTCCAGGGGATCCTACAGCCTCTTCTGTCCTCTGCAGGCATTGCATGATATGGGTACATTTACCTACATGCAGGGAAAACACATAAAACTAAAATAATAAATAAAAAACATTTAAAAATAATGTGATGTTTTTCATTTTATTACAGTATGACTGCCAAGTAGAAATCATATATGCTAAAATGTACAATGTGATGTTTTGATATATGTATACCTTATGGATTATCACATCAAATTAACTTTGCGTGTGTGTGTATGTACGTATGTACGTAGACCAGAGGCTAAAATTGGGTCTCTTCCTTTGCATCTTTCTCTGTGTGTGTGTGTGTGTGTGTGTGTGTGTGTCTATGTATGTCTGTAGACCAGACCAGAGGGTAAAATTGGGTCTCTTCCTTTCCATCTTCTCTCTATGTGTTTTTGAGACAGAATCTCACAGATTGGTTAGACTGGCTGGTTAGTGAGCTCTAGGGATCCATCTTCCTTCCCTTAACCCCCAACTAGGGTGATATGTACAACCACACCTGACTTTTTATATGGGTGCTGGGCATAAGAACTCAGGCCCTCACACTTGCACAGCAGGCACTTTACTGACTGAGCTGCCTGCCTAGGCCCAAGCTATCTTTTTTTGTTGTTTTTTTTAAGTCTTTTTGAGACAGGGTCTCCCTGTAGTCCCAGCTGTCCTAGAACTCACTATGTAGACCAGGCTGGCCTTGAACTCACAGAGATCCGCCTGCCTCTGCCTCCCGAGTGCTGGGACTAAAGGTGTGCGCCACCACATCTGGCCCCAAGCTAATTTTTAAATGATATTTTTATTCAGATTGGTGGACATTGCAACTCTTTAGTTTTAGGTTTCTTTGCCTCCCAGCTTAGAAAGGTATTGGCTCTCTTAGGAAGGTACACCAATAAATGCTAATAAATGCTGGCATCAATAAGTATGCAGACATTCTATGCTTTTAAAAGATCCCATGATGTGTACTGGGCACTTGACCCTACTCGGTCATCACAGTTATGCTACACTCATTAATTTTACAAATGTCTTGGTCTAGTCTTTCGGGATTTACTGTTTCCTCCATTAATCTGTTACTTACTGCTCTTTTATGAGGTCACTAACTGCTTTTGTATATTTGTTTGTTTGAGACAGGATCTCTTGAAGCACACAGACTAGTCTCAAAAACAGTACGAAGCAGGAGGCTGGCCTTGACCCCAGTATCTTCCTGCCTCCACTTGAAAGTGCTGGGATTATAGGCATGTGCCACCAGCCCCTAACTCACCTTTCCCTCACGAAAATTAGGGTGTGGGCTCTGGTTTCAGAATGTGATTGAAAGTACTCAAGTATTTTCTGACTACTGACATCTGGGTGAAGTCTTGCTGATAGACAGTATTAGAAGTACACCATTCTGTTTGCTCTTTGAGAAAGTGACACACATTTACAATCTTTCTGAGTTAAAATTAGTTGCTTCTAACACTATCACCAACAAGGGTGTGTGTAGGTATAGCTGAGTGATGGAGCACTTGCCTAGCATGCACAAGGCCCTGGGTTTGATCCCCAGCACCATAAAACAGTAACAACATCAACAACAACAAAAAAATCCTCCAGCTCATGACAACTGAGTTCTCAAGGAATTGTTTTCATATGATATAGGAATGGAAACTAAATAATAAATCTGCCTTTCAGCAACCTACAAACCAGTTTTTATTTCCGATGCTGATATATCCCAATTTCTAGGCAGCCTCCGTGTTTTACCAACTCCTGGGATTTGTCATCAGCAGAGGACAGAATTTGATGGGTAAAATCTAATTCTACTTTCTCCCAGTACAGACCTATGATTTTATTTCATTGCTATATTTATGTATCAATGCTAATATAAAATCTTGACCAAATCTGTAATTCTTCCTAACTATATTGCCAAATCACAAACACTGAAGTTGAAGGATACACGGTAGTAGCATGACTCCACAGGACCATAAAACAGAGATAATGATACACCAGTGCTCTGCTACTTAATCTTTACAATGATCCTACAGCTTGCACATTTTGGCTTTCATTTTTAGAAATAAGGAAATAAGGCCTGTAGAGCTTAAGTCCTTTCCTCAACATTTCTCTAAGTGACAAAGTAGAGCCTCAAGCTCAAGTCTCCCTAACATCAGAGTTGACCTTGATAAACTACTATGTTTAAGTCTCTGAAACTCTTTGCCTTTTCTTTTTATGCATTGCTGGGGGTCAAACTAAGGCCTTGCACATGCTACTCAAGTGCTCTACCACTGAACTATACCCCACCTTTCCCATTCTTTTGCTTCTTGATTTAAATTTTTACTTTTGAGATACAAGTTCATGTATTACACAGTGGCCTCAAACTTTCTAGGTAGCTAAGAATAACCTTGAACTTCTAAATGTCCTGTGTCCACTTCCCAAGTGCTGGGACTACTGGTTTATGTGGTACTGGGAATTGAACCCAGGCTTTTTGAATGTTAGGAAAGCATTCTATTAACTGAGCTACACTCTCAGCCTCAGTTAATTTTTATTATCATTGGTGTATGTTCAATGAACAATAGCTTCTTTTGAAGAGATCGTTTGCTAAGAGATAATAGATGATTCTGCTTTATGAGATATTTTCCAAATTCAAACTTGCAATGTTATATGAGGCAAGATGGTGACTGTATTTTACCAGGGATACAGAAAACTAAATCAACAAGGGAGTATTACCAAAATTTCAGCATTACCTGGTAATCAGAAAATTATTGTGCTCGGCCTGTTGATAAATATTTTTCACACATATATATCTCACCTCACTAAACTGGTTAAGTACTAAGACAGCTGAGTCTAAAAGGTGCAATTTTTCTTTGCTTGTGGCATCGTTTTGTCCTGTGGCCCTCTTAGGTTAGGCAAGGAATTTTGTGATTTGTCAGACTTTGAAAGATGACTAGTAGTGTAGGTTTCAACAGGTGGAAAGAACTTTTCAGGAGTCTAATACTACCAAGGGTTCATTCCCTTGAACACGATTTTTTCCCCCTTTAGTGTTTTGAGTCAGGGTCTCCCTGTAGCCCCAGCTGGCCTGGAACGCACAATATAGACCAGGCTGACCTCGATCTTACAAAGGTATGCCGGCCTCTGCCTCCTGTGTGCTGGGATTAAAGGCCTGTACCACCACACCTGGCCCTTGAACACCTCTTGAAGGAAGTAGTAAAAGGGTTTGTCACAAATGTTCAGGAGCAACTCTGTGGTAATATTACTTTACATTCTCTTCCAAACAGAAAATCTCAGATTAAAGGTACTAACTGCTGTCATAAAAGAGAAGAAAATGAAAGAGGAGAAAGTGGGAGGGGCCAAAAACTTGGGCATCTGCCACCTCAGATTCTACCCAGCATTAAAAAGGATGAAGGAGAGCTGGGCATGGTGGCGCACGCCTTTAATCCCAGCACTCGGGAGGCAGAGACAGGCGGATCTCTGTGAGTTCAAGGCCAGCCTGGTCTACATAGTGAGTTCCAGGACAGCTGGGGCTACAGGGAGACCCTGTCTCAAAAAAACCAAAAAAAAAAAAAAGATGAAGGTGGAAGAACTCAAGGAACTCACAAATCCTTCTCCTGTCCCTGTCCTGTTTGTGTAAAACACCCCGTGGTATTCTTTACATCACTGACCTTCAGGTGTTTGAGGCCGGCTACTGGACACGCTTGGATTCGGCGAAAAGTCTTTAACTTTGCTGGTTTCGCCAGCCTCTCATGGTGAATGTAAAAGAACGCTCATAGTCCGACTCCATTTATTTTGATCCTGCCCCTGCCTTGCCTGACCTCCGGGGCAGGTTCCCGGTCTCAGCGGCCCACGCACGCCATGGGCACCGCAACTGCACTTCACGCTAAGCAGTGGTGAGGGCCATAAGGAAACCCGCATTAAAGACCTCTGCCCCAGGTGCTGACAGCGGAGCGCAGCTCTGGGAACTGAGCGCTTTAGATCCTGGGGCTTGGCCACCCGCAACACCCGTCCCGCGTACCCCGCGCCCGGGCGCCCCTGACAGCGTCCAGTATTCACCTGCGGCGCTCACAGCCACCACCGACGCAGCCTTCCACACTTGTGCCATCTTGAAAAGAGACCCCCGACGTAGTGATCTCAGGCAGCTAGCGCTAGGTAGAAGTGTTGGGGGCGGAGCAAGAGTCTGAGGGGCAGGGACACGTGGTGTCGGGGGCGTGACTGGCGGCGGCAGGAGCAGGGGGCGGGCAGGGGGCGGAGCGAAAGGCTGAGAGGCGGGGACACGCGGCGCCTGGGGCTTGGAAGGCGCTGTAGGCCCGCCGGTCGGGGGAGGGTCGCGAGGGCGGGGAGCGGGGACATGGAGGACGCAGCGGTTCTGTGAACGCTGGAGGCGACCCGCTCTTCCGTTACGTTAAGACATCTGTCGAATCTGATGCAGAATATAAAGCGACGGCGCGACACCACTTGTGAATCTCTCCGAAAAAATAAAATGTCTGGAGAGAGAACTAAGGCGCTGGGGCTGACCAATAGATGTTTTCGAGTTTCTGCCCCACCCCCGCGCATGCCCAATGGAATGGCGACGTCTGGATGTGGGTTCGGAACCTTTACGCCTCGGAACCTTCGGCGTTGAGCTCCCGGTTGTGCAAGGAGTATCTTTGACGTGCGGCTTCCGGCCTGCTCTCTTCCTTCTCATGTGGCGCCGTTGTGGGCAGTGATGGCTCCTCGCGGCTGGCGTCGGCAGACCCTGGAGCGGTGTCTGAAGGAGGTCGGGAAAGCTACCAGCCGGCCCGAGTGCTTCCTCACGTAAGTGCGCGGATCCCAGGCTGGGAGAGTAGCCCGCAGCTCCTGCGAGCTTGCGGAGCAGGTGTCCGGAAAATTGTGGAGAGGAAGGGGAAGTTGAGAGTTGTGGCTCCTACGGCCCATGAAAACTTCAGCAGTTGAAAGCTGTACAGAGCGATCTTCCAGTTGTGTGCTGTTGAACTCAAGCTCAGTTATTAACGCCTAGAGGCCTTCTTTGAGACCTAGACCACATCCTTACCTTACACTGCTGGTTGCTGTTTATACGTGTGTTCCCTACATACCCACTGCTCACCTGTCATTAAGCTTTATTGAAACTATGGGCTTACTGCTGGTCATACTGCGCATCCACGACTGAGCGTCTCGAGAATTAGGACTTAAATCTCTCTTCCCAGGACAAGCGTTTTATATTTATTTTCCTGAAGAACTTCAAGTTCTGTAAAATTGTGGCAGGTTTATATTGCAGTCTTATACTCTGTGTCACAAAATCACCTTGTACAAAATAGAGGCCCGCCCCATACTCTGCTCTCCCCTGAAGTCATTTCCCTATTTCTAGTACCTTAGCCAGCATTATCTCAGTAAATGGCACACTTGTTATTACATTCACTCAAAGAGTCAATTAGTCTGTTTCCTTGCTCTCATTTTTTACTTCTGTCTTACACCTAATTCTGTACCAGCCCTGTCAGTTCCAGTCAAACTGTATTGGGATTTGGTTCCTGTTGGCCATACTTAGAGCTGCTACTCCAGCATAAGCCTCCATCATGCCTTGGAATGCTACTTCAACTTTCTAATAACCCTACATTCATTCCTTTCTCTATAGGTTATCTTTCCAGAGTGTAAATCATTTCATTCTTTAGCTTAAAACCTGTTTCCTCATTATACTCAGAATGGCAAGCTCTTACTGCTGAGCTCTGCATGGTTTTGTGTGTCCTCGCACCCTCAGCCTAACCTTCCACCTCCTTAACCACACTACAGCTGAGGTAGTCTTTATATTTTTAAGCTTCCTGACCTCATTTCTATTTTAGGGAATTTATTTTATGTTTCTTTTTCCAAGAATACATGTTTCTAGATCTTTGTACTGGAAAGTTTCTTTTATCTGAAGGACTCATTTCAGATACCACATTCTTAGAGAGATCTTCCCAGGCTTCTAGTAAAAATCAAGTTGATCATTTGCCAAATGTATAATGAAGGGTGGTATATGTATGGTTGAGACTTTAAGGCTGATTCACTGTATATCTCTAAGCAAGTAGATGAGTAGTGGTTTTCCAGCCTATACAGCAAACTCAGACACTTAGTTGGTACTTCTTATACATCGTTCTGGTTCATCATCAAGATATGCGCTTTTGGCAGGAAGAATTTATACTTAAAATCAGCACTTCACTTATATTCTACTTTGCCCATGAGTTACGCTTTTTATTTTTCATTTAATTCAGAATGGTTGATAATATTATTGCATATAATTCTCCATCTTATTTACTCCCCTTTCCCAATAGAATTCAAGATGGACTAGCATCAAACTTCACTTCTTTAACGAAAGTTCTTTATGACTTTAGTAAAACATTAGAGAATGGTCGAGTCTCTGGAAGTCCTTTACAAAAGCTTGTTATAAACAATTTTGATGATGAGCAGATTTGGCAACAACTGGAATTGCAAAATGAACCAATTTTACAATACTTCCAGAATGTAGTTACTAAAACAATGGAAGATGAAGATATTAGCCTTTTCCCAGAGACTGAAGAACGACAGTGTGAAGACGATGTCTCGGAGATGGAGGATGACAGCCAGGAGGACCTCACGAAAGATTTGGAGGAGGAGGAGGAACTGTCAGTCCTGGGTGGTGATGGCCCTAAAGAGAGGGAAAGAGCTGAATACTCAAGCAGGTCTGAGCGAAGGAGGAGTCCCATTTTCAGTGATGAGGATTCGGACCTTGACTTTGATATTAGCAAATTGGAACAGCAAACCAAGGCTCAAAGAAAACTACCTGGAAAACCAAGAGAAAAGTCTGTAGTAGATGATAAGTTCTTCAAGCTCTCTGAAATGGAGAACTTTTTAGAAAAAATGGAAAAAGAAGAGGAAAAAAGATATGATGATGAAGAGGAGGAGATTGACTATTTTGAAGACATTGATTCTGATGAAGATGAGGGAGGACTGTTTGAACGTCCAGAGCTTAAGGTAAGGTTTTAAAGTGCCTCAAAATCCACAAGGGCACAGGTGAAGTATTAGATGAATTGAAAAAAAAATTGATTGAAGAAATTAATTAAAATGATTGTAAAAGCTGGGTCTCTGCTGCATTAGTATAAGCCTAGTACATGGGAGGCTGAGGCAGGAGGATTATGTGTTCACAACTAGCCTAGGCTTAAGTAATGAGACCCTGTCAAAAACCACTGTCTCAAAAACTGCTCCTACCCCCCACCCCCCCTCACCCGAAATGCATACATAC